CACTATGCCAGAGAGATGTGCTGCTGTAATTGCTGCAAAAGATGGACATACCAAATATTAAAGTTAAAAGTGGATAAAGAGTACGACTCACTTCATCTGATATTTGTTGTGCTCAGAGCAACCATCTGCATGTTTCATGAACATTATGAAATGAAATCATGTTTTGGAGGCAAAAAAGGACAATATTTTCAGATCTGTCAGGTGTTCTAACAATTTTGGCCACCACTGTATATATATATATAATTAATAAAATAAAATAAGTTAATAGTGGTCTTAAGATATTGTTATAATCTAATCCTAATGATGTTTTATGCTTTTGTACAACATAGAGGGTTATAATGAGTTATAAAATATTGGGTTAATGCTAAGCATTGTTCTTTATTCTTTTGCCAGGCTGCAAAGGGATGTGGGATATTATTGCTTGCTGGCCATCAGCCAAAGTTGGGGAACATGTGGTTATTCCCTGTCCAAATTACTTCAGACACTTCTCTGATCATCATGAAGGTAAGTTGAAATCGCCCTCAAAAACCTTTGATGCACTTCAAGGCATTAAACAACAGCTGTAACTCTTGAAGAAAAGTGCAGAGTGTCTTTTTGTCATTTTGTCAGCCTCAGTCATGGGCTGTCATAGGCTGTCACATCGCTGTAAAACTAAAAGTTTTGAGGCACTTCAGTGTCTGAAGTTGTTCAGAAGCTAATCTGAAACTCCCACATACTCACTGGAGTAGTTTGTTTGATATCACACTTCTCAAGGCAAAGTGATGAGCTTGGGAAAATGATAACTCTAAAATAAGCCCTTAATTGTCAGAAAGTAAAACAAAACCAATTTTTCCCCTCTAGCAAACAACATTTTAATGGTATGTTGTCATCAGTGTACGACAACATTAATAACATGTTTGCAGAACGCAGTACAACTACTGACTGTGGGTTACATTTTACATGCAGAACCGCTGCTTTGAGTGGATGGAATGGCTAATTCATTAGGGGGCAAATCAGACACATTGATTGAGTATGTACTACCATTAGGTCACACTTGTTTATCTGATAATTCTGTCTCAGCCACATCACACCAGAAACTATTAATTAAACTCATTAAAAGTCTGGCAGCATACCAAGTTCAGCAGACTTGCATTAACCTGTTATACAAAGGATGTCTTAGGGCAAAGTTCTATACATTTATATATTTAAAAAAAAATTATATTTATATACAATTTATATACTAATTTATTAATTTTATCACTTTAACTTTTGGTTAATATCTTAAAAAGATATTAATCAAGAACCAGTCACTACAGTTTTCTTATCTTCTTAAATGAATTTCTTATCTTTAAACAATTATAAAATTCTTGGTAACACTATACAATAAGGTTCATTAGTTATCATTAGTTAACTACATTAGTTGACGAACTAAGAATGAACAATACTTCTACAGCATTTATTATTATTAGTTATTGCTCATTTCAGCATTTACTAATGCATTATTGAAATCACAAGTTGTGTTTGTTAACATTAGTTAATGCACTGTGAACTAACATGAACAAACAATGAACGACTGTATTTTTATTAACTAACATTAACAAAGATTAATAAAGGGTGTAATAAATGTAGTGTTCATTGTTCGTTCATGTTAATTAATACATTAACTAATGTTAACGAATGACACCTTATTGTAAAGTGTTGCCAAATTCTTGATTTTAAATTCTATACAACATGTTATTACATGTTGCAAACAGTAAATACCTTCATTTTTACTACTTTACTAATACTTTACATGTTTACAGTATATTAAACTGTTTGCCTGACAATATTTATTGTTTTTTTTTTTATATTTGTTTTTATTGGGTTTTCTTATACATAAAATAAATTCAACACAAACAGAGGTTAACACAACAGGCATAATAAAATAAATAATAATAATATTTAAAAAAATATTAATGTGAAAAAGGAGAGTGAGATAATGCACAGCAGATTGAATGTGTTGAAAATCATTCTTCTTCGGAAATTATGATATTAATACATTTTAAAAATTAAAAACAAGAATATAAAAATAAAATGTAAAAGATATTTTCATAGTTATAATTTGCATTATAATTTGTAAAGGCAAAATAAAAGCATTTTATTTATACCAGTAGCCTCAGACTTCTGAATTCCACTGTAAACTGCAGCTCTATTGTACATTAACTTATTAAATACACTAGGTAACATTAGTCAAAATCTGCAATGTTGTAGATACGTCTAAATTTGCAAAAATGTCCATGTGCAATGTACATCAGGTACAATCTAATGGAAACCAATGTCGATTCCATGTAATGGAAATACAGCCTCTGTGCTGAAGGATGAAAAGTGTTTCTTCAGTGATGAACAGTGTTGGGCAAGTTACTCTGAAAATGTAATCAAATTACTGATTACTGATTACTCCTTTTAAAAGTAATCACGTTACTGTTCTGATTACTTTATTTCAAAAGTAAATAGTAATTAGTTACACTACTAGTTATGTTACTTTTTTCTCCATGAAATTTATGAAATCCCAGCATACACGCTCCCAATAAATATTTGGTATTAAAGCAAAGCATCAACATTCACAGAACACTGTTATTTTTAACTAAAGCAAGCGGCTGCTGCGTGCATGGTTTGGCATGGCAGATGCCAGCAAAGAGCGCTGCAATTATAATCTCTAAAAGACATCTCAGTTCATCGCAAT